CTCGCCAATTTCATATTTGGCCAAGCGATTCTTTTCGTCTTGTATTATCAGATTTTTCGGTAGCTGGTATATATTTCCCATGAGGCTCTTGCTTTTCTTCTTCATCCTCTGAGCCAAAGTCAACTTTACTCTTTTTATCTCGTTTGGGTCTGCCACCGTGATCCTTTCTGGTTCCTAATTAGTTTCAGAGAGTGATTTTATGAAGAATCTCATGTATAGATGCAACAAGAAAACGACGTGATATAATTGACCTACTTGCATTTCCTGCATGGATTGCACCAGAGCATCAGCTTCTTCACCCTTGTGCGTCACCAGGTTCCTGTTAGAAGTAGGACTGTCATCGTTAACAAATGCATTCCCATGCAAAGGGCATAATCATCCAATGAAGGATAGGGGGAAACAACGAAACTCGAACGCTTCGGGAATTTGCAATTTGACTCGAACGCTAAGGTTAAAAGTATCGACTGCCTGTTCGACGTCCTCTCAGGTGATTTAAATGTCTTGCTGTAGTTTCCCTCTTGTATCGAAGGTACCGTGGATTCCCCATGATATTTCGATCGTGAGGAAAAGGACGAGTGCGAAATCTGAGTGCGCTCAGATTTCGTTGAAACAATCGTGTTTCAGTTGTAGGGTTTCTCCAGAAAAATAGTTCCATAGAACTATGTGTTCATGCACAATTTACTGTAAGATTACTTTTAGGAATATGTTAATATGAGATAATATCACACCATTTTGGATTGATTATGTCGTAAGATGTAGACCAGAGCGTGCGTTCGGTTTGACGTTGCAAATCCATTGCTTGACACACGAGATTCGAACAGCACGTTTGACTCTTCGTTTATGCATGTCCGTAGTGACTTGGAACGTATCATCGTGCAAGCTTCTCGAAAAAAAAGGTCCTTTGATTCCTCGTATGTTTTCTTTTCTCTTACGAAAACGAAAAGGGATGGCAGAATGTGCGAACAGATCCAGCAGACGTTAGTCACGACGGTAACTGAAGCTGACGGTTCTATTATTAGATTATGAAGTGAAAGGGAGACATTCCACTTACGAGTCAATGAGCGCATCCGTTCGACTCAGAGCGTAGCCATTCGACTCGAGATGCAGCATGTACGATTATAGCATGTCATATTTTGGGGGCCACGCTTACCCACTTTGTGTCACTGAGGATTTATTCCTACCAGAACCCTTGAAAACAGGCTGTTTCAGAGAGGGGCGAAACAAAATGGTCGCACCCTGGGCTGGCCATTATGGGCTGAGAGAAACGCTGGCTCTGATAATATGACAGAAAAATAGTTCAAGTTTCGTTGTTTTTCCCTATACTTACCCATGGGCCGTGTTCCATGTATAGGTTCCTTCGGCATTTGTTCCTTGAATGCGGTCGTGGAGCCCCGGGTTTGAAAGAAAATTACCTGCTGAAGGTACGTTTTGATCCATCAATCGGCGATGATCTTCTTTCAGAGAGTGTTGACACGGGATGAAAGGATCTCCCGGAGAGTCATTAAGTCCTTTCGATTGTGGCATCTGTTCATATGGATTCGACGAAAATGTGGAGCCTAACCTAGTAAAACGTGATATCACTGACTGTTGTTCTTGTAAATACATATGCTGCTGTTCCGCTGGCTGCTGTTGTGGTATCAGTGGATGAAACTGTACGTTTTGTCCAGAGGAGTGAAAATATGATGGGGAAAAGTTCCCTGGCAAGTGTCCACGCACGTTAGATAGTGGAACTTTGGCGGCGCAATTCGAGTGTTGGAGTGGGCTCGCCGTCATATGGCCTTGTTGACTCTGGGGAGACAGCCCCTGTTGGTAAAAACGAATGGATGAGATATCAATGTTTGTTGGAGTTCATAGGTGATATTGAAGGATCACATCAGTTGTAAGAGGTAGTTGTTGAAAATTCCACATGAAATTGAAACATTAAAATTTTCAGGCCCCATGTAGAAAAAGGTAACGGTGTGTAAGGGCCCGCTTGAGGAAGTGCTTAATGCCCCTTTTGGAGGACTTTATTATTTTTGGAGTTAGACGAGATGAGTAACCAAAACATAATGGAAAGAAGGTTAGCAAAGACTTTTTGAAGTTTGACGGCATAAGAGGTGAAATTGAAACCTCTGAGCAAACTCCCCTCACCAGGAGTGAGTTATATCGTTTAGTTATATCATTTTGATTACATTCATCAGTTTGTATTTAGCTCGCAGCAGCAAGCCAATAAATAAATAAATTACGGTTTCAAAGGTCGATGAAAAAATGTCACGGAGTGAGAAGATATAGGTGACAAGATGAACCCATGCAAGAAAAACTAACCGAACACTTTAAGAATGGTGGAAGAGTTCAGCGCCATTGATGAAAATATTTTACTTTTTTCTCCTCAATCTACTTCGCATTCGATCATTGTTGGGTTTCTATATTTGAAGCTAAAACTGTTTCCGCGTCTTTATTTTATGTCATTTTAGTGTTTCAAATTTTTACGGATCCATGAAATGCTTCGCAGTTGAGAAATTCTTTCCTGATCGACTGCCCATTTTCCGTAGATTTTTGCTCATCTCTAATGGAGCGAAAAAAAACTCTAACATCAGCTTTAGCAGGTAGTTTTTTTGACGATAATTATACTCATTCGAAAGGAGAGGCAAATCTAATCCTTTCAAAATCTTTGCGAAGAAATTGCTACTATCATTCGAAGAACAGAAAACAATGTGGTCGCATATAGGAGAAGAAATGCACATGGTAGGAAAAGAAAGGACGGGTCTTAAATATTATTTGGCCTCATAAACTGTGAGAGGCAGGTTAAATCAGATTGATGGAGCTATAAACTCACTATGCGTTTTACAAGTCAGGCAATGAATATCTGAATATCAAGTATCACCCTGGAATGGTTTTGTTCTCAATTCTGGCCTGGTCCAGCGTTTTCTGCATTTTTAAAAGAATGGTAATAACACATTCGCTGCCACATGCGGCCATAGCCGTTTTCACGTCGTCCTCCTAATAGTCACTTATTTCTTGAAGATATGTCATTCAAATGCCTCACAACCTACAAGGGTTGCAATCAATATACCATACCCTGTAACATTACTGAAGGTACGTTGAAATGTTCATTCATTTGAATCCCTGGCAGCGAAAGTGTCAACCCCTATTTAATTGCGAATCTATTATTATAGGACTATTCGATTTTTGAAGCATAAAAATCTGATAGGATTCTAACAGTAATCCCATAAATTTCTTATAATATCCTAAAAAATTTGAGGGTTCTCATAGGATCCTATAGGATTTTCTCTTAAAGGGAAGAATTGTTTAGATGGCCATTCAATTACCCTATAGCGATGGAACGATCGTAAAGTTTGGGTAAGGTTCTACGGGAATAGTCCCCTCAAGTTTTTCATGACAGTAAATATAATGAAATTGGGAAACTCACAACAGGGTAACCCAGATTCCTGACGGATGGGACTGGAAAAATCAAGGGCTGGTGAATCCGTTCCCTCTTCCGCATGGAAATCTCTTTCATGTTGACAACCCATTTCTTATTCAGATATAATCTCAATTCCTTCCTCGTTCGATTCAATTTAACGTTGGCCTGCCTCAGTAATTTTTCGCATTGTGGTTCGAGGACATCATGATTGAGCTCGCATGCCTTGCAAGCTTCCGAAATAAAGTCCGTACATAGATGCATCTTGAGACATTGATCCTGGAAGCATTGTGAGATGTTGTATTCCGTGCATGGATCAGGAGTTATAGAATCTGGCTCGAGAAACTTCATCATCCGACAGTCGATGTTCTCCAAGTTGAATTGACAGAGGAGGCGACGGTTGTGTTCTGTCTTGATATTATGTCCATCTTCACACCTGGCATCTGTGCATAGTCCCGCAAGGTATTTCGCGCAAATGTGCAAAGATCGACACTGCTCATTATCGCAGCCTCCGAGAGTCAAGTAGTCCTGGCATATCGATAAATGAATATTCAGCGATACCATGTTCTCTGAAAGCAGAAACCTCTCATCCTCGTTGATGACCTTCTTGATCCCATCAGGCGTGGTTTTGAGAGTACTCGCCAATTTGTCGATATTCTGCGTTACATCTTCCATCCCTGAGAGGGTTCGAAGCAATCGTTGCTGGAAGCATCGTTTATTTCTTTCTCGTCGCTCTTTTTCTTTTCTTTTTCTTTCTTCGTCCCTCTTTCTCCTCTCCTCATCTTGTCGTCTTTTTCTATCTTCCTCTCTTTTTCTTGATTCTTCGTCTTCCTCTTCATCCGATGTGGAGTCTATATTTGGAGCATTCTTAACCCTTTTATCAGCTGGCTTTGCCTTTTCTCTCATCACCTTTTTCCTGCTGCCTCCCTGATCTGCATGCATCTTTAAAGAAAATGCGGGACAATTATTTAAAATATACGGGGGGGTGATCGAAAAGTTCTAAGCACGAGGCACTTCCAGTTGCAATACACCTTTTTTACTTTCCTTATGAGAAGACTGGTGTCTTTTATGGTGACTGGCACATTTTCATCTCATTCGCAGATTAAATAAAGCTTCGATGAATTTTTTTCCTGGGTGATTCCAAAGGAATGCTGTGATGAAAAATGCTGTGATGAATTTTCTAGCCTCCAAAGAGTCAATCTTTAAGCAGATTTTTTACTAGCAGAGAGGATGAAGTCCTAGTGACCTTCTCTGCCAGATCATCTAGAACAGTGGTTCTGAAACTTCCTTTAATTCCCATTTCACTTGATATGTTCAGGGGGTCGCGACCCCCCAGTTTGAGAACCGCTGATTGCCATTCATATATATTGAGCACCAAAATTACAAAGATCCATGGAGTTTCTCTAGCATCCGGACTTCATACTTTTCATATGGTTATGAACTTTCTTCCTCGCTGGAGAGGTCGACATAGGACAGAAAATAGCTCTGTACCACATATCCCTAATTGCTATCCTAAAAATGGGAGTAAAAAAACATGACAATAACCCATAGAATGGAGGAATTCTTCTGGCTCAAAGAATCATCAAGGTTGAAGTAAGCACGTTGACGAAAGGTTCAGATCGAAGAGTCCTAATGATTACGCCTTTCCTTTCAGGTACCCTCCCCACAAATCACAAGACGCCTTGCTTTAGAGCCGGTATTTCCAGTGACCGTTAATAAGTCTTTCAAATGAGGATGACTAGGATGACTAAGCATAACTTTTGAAACTTGTTTCAAAATTTCTGCAATGCCCTGTACTTCACGCTGCTCGATGAGTCACGTATAAAATCAATATGCCTTGATAGCGCTTATTCACTTTCTTCAACCTCTTCCCATTATAAAATTCAAACTCATTGTATTCCTATCTGAAAGCATTAAGTGGAAAGAAATTAGACATGCTTCGCACTCTCTCAGCAATGATTCACTTTTTTTAGCGTTAATTAATTTCATATCGGTATTTCTCACTTTTTCCTTTCCCTTGAAACCCATTCAATGAGTAATTTCAGTGACAGTACATCTATCAATATAAATAAATTTACTAGTAGATCCGGAAAAATGCCGTTTTTATTGTTTACGATGAACCTTTCGCTATGAAAAAATGAAGATAGCTGTTGTTCATTTAACCAAAGTTCATAGGCTCTAGTCCGTACTCCAGGGTTGCCAGATATTAGGCTGGAGTTATTCGGATTCATGACTCCCTTTGCTTTCGTCTCGGTGCCTGAATATTCAATTTCAGGTCTAACAAGGTGGTCAAAAGAAAATGTAAGGGAATATTTATCTTTATATTCATTTCAGGTGATCATCACTGAACCGAAATGGCTCAATATTCATTGCAGGAGCGAGTATGGAGAGCATAGCACTTTTCCCGTAGATTTGGTGCTGGTCTGTAACCATAGGAATAACTCTCCCTCGAAAAATTAACAGTTCCTTTGATATTCGACTTTTGGCTTTATGTGGCAACTTATTCAGAACTCTCCCAATATCATCATTAGGGACAATGCGCTTCGGCTCAAATTGCCTACATTTTGATTCCGCACTAAAGTTTCGCGAAACTTGTCAACAATGGAAAGGATAATTTTATCTGGATTATTCGAAATGCTTCTGAGAACCTCCTTTCACTTTCAAAATTTCACAATTTCCAAAACGGTTCGTTACTTTAACCAGCTCCATTCCTTTGGTTCAGCTATATTCACCTGAAATGAAAAGAAAATCAAATTCCACTCACCTTTTCTTTGGACCATCCTGTAAAAATGGAACGCTCAATGTGGTTGACCAATCTTACTCCTGCGAGGCTTTTAGGAGGGAATAACTCCTCGAGAAATACTTGACTCTATATTGTTCTCCATAAATATGCATGATGCAAATATCTCGCACATTGTATCGTAAAAGAATAATCCTTCCTATCCATCTTGGCGTGAATTATGATCATACAGGGTGGGCCACAAAGAAGGGAAACATTTTATGCTTCTATAAAATTTGTTCTATTAGAGATAAAATTATAAAATGCAAATTTCATGTCATAGAGCAACCCTTAAGTATTTTTGCAGATTCTTTTGAACAATGAAGGAATTCACAATAAAGCAGAGTATTTTTTAAATATTATTATCTGAGACTTACATTGAAACAAATTCACCAAAGATGATGCAAAAAATTATCATTGAAGATTCTCAAACTCTCGTGCACCTGGCTAAAACAATCAATAATTGGTATGGTGGAGAAGTTCAGAATCTAAGGTTCAGAACAAAATGCTAATAAAGGTCATTCAGGAAGAAAGACGACCGTTCTAGTTCCAGAAAAAATTGATGATGTCCGACAGCGTATAGAGAACAGTCCGTGAATATCCACAAGACGACTTTCAGCCGAGTCGGGTGTAAGTCGCGCATAGTTATGGCGAATTTTAAAACTTGACATTAGGTTGTTTCCATATAAGATTTAACTGCTGCAGTTCAGCTGTGACAATGTCGAAGAAAGAAGGTACCAATTTTTTAATCGCTTGTCTCAGATGTTGGAAAATGGTGAATGACTGATGTATAACATATTTTTCTCCGAAGAGTGTCATGCATATATGAACGGTATTATGAACAAACAGAACTGTAAGAGGCGGACATTTTGAACATCCTATGTAGTCAGAACGAAAACTTTATAACTACCTGCACTAAGTGTAATTTTCTACATGATTCTCTCTGCAGTGATAAAATAGCTATGAATTTCTACATGTTTCTCTTTTTTTTATGGCCCCCCTTGTATATCAGAGTTCACGTGATGATATCATACCTTGCAAAACTTATTAGGGGATGCAAAGGACAACTCACTTTTGCCTCTGCAGAAGGAGTATCCTTGCCCCCGGCAGCCAGTCCCTATATAAGAATAAAATTGGAGAGAAAAGCGGGAAAAGGCTTCAGAGACGGGAAGTGCTGAACTGATTCGAAACCTGCTTTATAACCTGATGAGATTCTTTCAAGAAGAAAAATTCATAGAAAAAAAGGAAGTGAATTTATGCTTAATATGGAATTTGAAAAAAAAGGGAATATTACCTCCGTGACAACTAGATGTGGAAGGGCCTGCACCACGGAAGCCATTTGTTGGTTCCTGAATGGAGGATTCATGAAAACATGACTGTTAGTACTCAAAGGTAATGTCTTTGTTGAACTCACCTACGTTCGTTGCCAATGTTTCCATAGTGAGTTTGGTCCGGAATCATTTCATTCGCCATTTGGTTTCCATGGGGCAAAGGTGGAGGATATGGGATCGGGGCCAAGTAGGTCGGCTGGCGTTGGGTCATCTGATAATTTGGTTGATTCTGCAGATAATTGGAATAGAAGATCCCAGGAACTTCTACTTGACTTGAAAATCCACCCAGATGTGACGGCATCCCTTGCGGTGGGAATTGCATTGCGTGTTGCGACGTCGGCTGGTGGTGAATGTGGCCAAGAGGAGTTTGCATCTGCTGGTGATGATATATGACTTGCTCGTGAGACATGTCGGGCGGGAAATGGATACCTGGTGGGCATGCTGGTTCTGATACCACAAAAGGTGGCGCATTTTGATGGTGCTGTTCATTTTGGAAAGGGATACCTCCAGTACATTGCTGTCCTGGCCCACACCGACCGTTTCCGTCCATATTCAAAAGATGCACGAAAAAAGTCACAATTCAGTATGTTGTAGAGGTGAGTTACGAGTCATGGCCCATGAACTTGGTTCTCAGGAACCTGATGAATAAGAAAGGTGGCGTTCAGATGGGAATTTTCATTGGATGATCATGTTACAGGAAGGACAAGGACATAACATTCCTTCAAAGAACATCAAAATTATCTTCGAGCTCTCGGCCATGTGTACTATTAAAATAATAGCCTTCCCACCTCCCCTCTCGTTACTTAGCTTCTATGATGCTGAGCTCCCTCCTTTCGAAAATCTTGCTGATTCAGTAGTGGGGATGAGGCAGTATTTACCAAGGGGCAAACAATTCCACGATCCAGATCCATATTTGTCCAGCCGACCGTTAAAAATCTATCTGAAAGTAGCAATTTCAATTTCCAATTAATATTCATTTTGAATGCAATACGTATTCTATTTAATCTATCTCGGGAGAACCTTAGAGCATCTGGTCTCCTGTAATTGAGAGATGGAAGAACCGCCTTGCGGTTCTCGCATCTGTTCTGTCGAGCGGTAGCAACATTACTTGCAATTGCCCTAATAACAGTGTTCTCAAATGCCTAGCCTTGTAATAAGAAGCATGTTAAGATACTTAAGGAAAAAATTAGTCTTCCTACTTCCAAGTCTGAACTTGGAAGTAGGAATCGTTTCTCTTAAAGTCGTTCTGTAGTAATGTGAAAAGCAAACTTCATAGGTTTTCCCTTTCTTCAACCCCAACCCCAACCCCAACCTCACTTCCCTCCTTCCTCCCCTCCCTCCCATGGATGCTATGGTCTATGGAGACAGGCGAATGACCATTAGGCACATTTCTATGACTCTCCGGGTTAGTGTTGGTAGTATAGGATCTTCTTGAAAAACAACCTCCTGATGAAGGAAGCATCTGCATGATGGGTGCCAAAATGTTGACTCCAAAACAGAAACATGCATCGCTAACAAGTTCTGATGCAGTTTCTTGTGAGATACCAGACAGATCCAACCGACTTTCCCTTCAGGGTAGTAACCCAAGATGAAACGTGGGTTCGCCACTTTGATCTGGAAATTAAACACGTAAGTCTTCAATGGATACACCCAGATTCACCACCCCCTCGATGATTCAAGGCCATCGCCTCAGCAGGCGAGGAAACCCTGCTAATTGACTACCTGGAACATAGCACGACCATCACGGGTGATTACTAAGCCAATCTGCTATGAAAGGTGAGAGAAGCAATCAAGAAGAAGCGCCGAGGGAAACCTCGCCGGGGTGCTAATTTCGAAATAATATCAATACAATGACACGGCAGGGCTCTAGTCAGCTTGGCCACACTCGAATGACATCACAGAGTAGAGTCTTGGCAGTACTCATGACTTGAAGGGGAGAAGCATGGCGTGGGGATGTCATAGAGCTAAGGAAAAGAACTGGAGGTAGCCCACAATAGAATGTGGTTGGTAGCATGGCGGTTCTTTTCCATTCGCTACAATGGGATTTTCATCATTTCCTTTCCCAGTTTTCATGTTGTCGTTAACATGATGGAAGTAAATCATAGCACTGGAGGCCTAATAATTCAGAAGGAAGTTTCAGAGGCATGATAACGTCAGGTAGGAACTCTTTCTTCCATGGGTGCGAGTCCCCAATTTTTTGAGCGGGCCTCAAGTTCAGGGCCTGCCTTTCTTGAGATTGCTGGGCCTACGAAGGTGATAACGTTACGCAGTCCTTGAATCACCAAAGTAGACCTATTTTACAGCAGATCGAAGGCATGAAGTCAAAGGAACCTCGAGTGAACGTTCAAAGGCAAACATGGTAATCGAGACGAAGGGCTACCACGAGATGCACGGTAGAGGTGTTTGCGGGTCATGGTAGGGCATGCTTCCGTATTCAGTATGGCTGCTCCAATGACCCGCGGGTCCTGCTCAGTTATCCCGCCAATGCGCACCACAGTCCCGCTTTCAATTCCATGAATCACTTCCCACGTGAATCTCCGGCATTCTAAGACCTATTCCCAATCGCCCTTTACTGCCTTTAGCCTAAACTGGAGTAGTGGATCCATACGATGATAGAGGAAGTCTTGGAACGACTCAATAAGGACTATTGGTCCCTCTAAGGACCTATTGCGTCTGCTGTGTCGGGGCTGTTGGCTGCGTATTTTGAAGAAAGTTGGGTGAAAAATCGGGAAAATGCAATAGAAGTAAATGGTGACGAGACACCATGATACCAACAAGTAAGGCCCCATTCCATGTATTCTTAAAGGACCTTTAACTAAAGGAGGTTTCAGCATTTGGGCCTAAGTCTTCCAATTGCAGCATGCATGCCTATGCTTTTCCTAGGGGTGCGCCATCTGCAGTTATAGCGGGCCGCACTCGTGTATATATAATTATATATATGCACGAGTGCGGCATCCTCGCGATTACTTCGCCTCTGATCAATCACCTCGGTACCGCTTAGAAATTGTGAGGGATTTTCTTGGAGAATCCATTGAGACATTGCTGAAAAGTTATGCAGTCAGGTAATTGCTGGCTTTTGTTAAGTTTTACCCATTTTTGACTAGCATCAAATATGCGAAGTTTGCGAGTTTTGAAGTTTCACGGTTAAGCCGAAGATCGTAAGGATGGAATCGAGAGAGGAGGAGGATTAGAAAAACGTACGTATATCCGAGAAAGTGACGGAAGGACTGTAGTGATAGAGAATTTTCACAAAGAATTATCACGGGGTAGAAAGGAAAACGACAGACCGGTTCTCATTCCTTCCTCCCCATATCTTGCTTATCTTGAATATATGTGAGGGGATTCCGAGTATCTGAAATACTTACCAATCTTTGCTGTCGTCGAGAAATTGTTTATCTGCCGATAAGAAGATTTCCTCCGGTTTTTCACTATTTCTCTTATTCAGTGTTAGCAGAATCGACATCTCTGATACTAAGGCGGACCTACCGTTTATTGTCTTGACACAAGGTGTCAAGTCAATAGCCGAAATCCTGCACAGCAGGACAATTGACCCATCGGATGATCCTCGGACGATCGGTCAAGCTGACTTGAAGGAGGAATTCGCCAAAATGATTACAGCACTAATATCCAACTTCGAAGCATGTGGAGACAAGAAGCTTATTTTAAAAGAAGTTCAGGGTGCTCATTAGGTGATGCAGGTGAAGATGAAATTTTCGTTTTAAATACAATTACAACGTTTTAAGAACAATCTATTCACAGGAGGTGCTGAAAGTGTCCAGCATTGGCTTCTTCGCAATATTGTGTACGACGCACGATGTTCATGGGCACCATATTTGGGATCCTAATTCAGATGTTGCCAATTGCATTTCGAATGTTGTCTTTCAGGTCTTCTAAATTGTTTGGAATAGTAGAGTATACTTGGTCTTTGAAGTGACCCCAATGAAGAAAATCTACCTGGGTCGAATACGATGAATGTGGAGGGAGTCGACCCCTACTGATTAATCGGTCTCCTAAAATGATTTTAAATGATTTATTGAGACATTTTCAGTGGGTGCAGTGGTATCATCCTGCTGAAAACAGAGGTGGATTGCATTTAATAATGCCAGCATTAGCATAATGCTTTATTAACTAAAGGAGGTTTCAAGTGAGACATTACTTTAAAAAGCTTTTGAGTTCCATTCGTTAATTGATATTCGCGCTGCCTAATGTGCATCAGCGACTACGATATTGTATGTCAGGGACCTGCAAGAATGTGGTTAGCATGGACAAAGTTCTAACATGGGATTTTTTTTCATTCAGTGCTCGTAAAAGTATAAACAAAAAGCAAAAATGACTGCGAATAAGTTCTAAGACGGATGACATGCTGCGACGAAACAAAGAAGAATGCCGCGAATTACAACAATAGCAAATTCAGCCACTCCTCCACCTTCTTCAGCTACCTGCTGACTGATTTTTTGCCGCAAGCCTTCCAACGTCTTGGCGAAGTACATCATGCTATAGCTTTATTTAAAATTTTCTGGTCAATCGCTACAGGTGGACCTGCTGATGAAGTTACCCTGGGTTTCTTGCTGGCAAAGCCTGCTCTGACTGGATGCTTGATAGGAGTGCGAATGACCTCACCCTCTTTCACTAGCTCCTCCACTACGTCACCTACATCGACAGCACCCACCGGAAGATGGTAGAAGAATGATGGAAGAAGCTGGTAGATGGATCCTCTTCTAGCCAGTGTCGGATTTGATGAAACAAGATCGAAATGAAAGGGTATCCCTAAAAAAATGTTCAATCCAAATATTGACAGAGTTAGTTCGTCCCCAGGGGAGCTAGTTTGCTCCTGGGACAGTCATTTGTCTTGGTCCCGTATTGCAAAAGGTTGCGACTCACCGGGAGCCATACCAATAGCAAGGTCTCCCCGCCAACCACTCAACGCTCTTGAAACAATATTGTTCCTTGAATGTATGCGGAAAGAGGTAAATGAAACTAGGCGACTCGACCCGACTAACAATTTTTCCTCAACAGGGACATAGGTGGAGGGATCATTCAGGGGATACGAACGAGAAAAAGAAAAAGATTTTATGAGATTAGCGTAACGTAAAACTTACGCATGTAATACGTAACGTAAACGTATACGTTTTAATCAACATTTGACAGTTTGATTAAAATGGGAATTCAGCTTTCTCGCTTTTTTAAAAGTTGGATTCAATTTCTCTGGAAGGAGGAGATTGTATCCCGATGCAGATAACATGACAAGAGAAGAAAATTGCAGAGGAGGCCGCCAATTCAGAAACATCCACGTCAAATCAGCTTATTCGAATCGACGACCTCTGCAAAGGGCCTGTTCTCCGATTTCGATGAGTTGGATGAGCCAGTATCTTCCATGAAGAAACAAAGACACACACACCAAGTACTATTGTTCGACTCAGTGCGTAGCTGTTCGGCACAAGATGCAGCACGTACGACTGTGACTTGTTCCATTTCGAGGGACCGTGCATACCCACTTTCAAACTCAGTATTCAGTGATTGAAAGTGGGTTTGCACGGCATTTATTCCTTC